CCGATTCTACCTTCGTCCAGGAATCCAATCGCGTATTTATAGCCGTGCCCGAATTTGCCAACAGATTGCCCTCGGATATTCTGACGTTGTCGAAGTGGATCATGCAGGTGCCGAACGCCTCGATACCCATCTTGTCCTCGAGCTTGCCCACCATCAGACCCGGCGTGTCGCGGTCCACGAGGAAGGTCGTGATAATCGGCGGCGGGATCGCGTTGGCAAACAGCACGAAAACCTGCGCCACGTCGGAGTTCGACATCCACATCTTCGTGCCGTTGATCACATATTCGGCGCCGTCCTTTCGCTCCTCGGTCTTCAACGAGAAGGTATCCGAGTCAGGTTCCGTCAGGCAGAAGCTACTCACGAAATCACTAATTTGGGCTAATTTGAGCAGGTACTTCTGCTTCTGTTCCTCGAATCCGATTTTAAATATTATCAAATTTATCATGTTTTGGATGTCGAAGGGCGTCGCCACTGCCACTGTCGACTTTGGCGATCTCTTTGATGGTCAATATCGTGCTCAAGAAATTACTTCTTATCCCGCCGTACTCGGTTGGAATCTCGATCCCCATCAGACCGTTCTCGAAGAGCTTCCGAAACACGTGATTGTCTATCCTTCCCTCTCTCTCCATTTTCCGTGTATGAGTGGTGCGATCTCCTGCTTGGCCAATTTCGCGACCATCTCCTTCGTCATAAGCTCGTCATCTGTGAATTGTGTCAATGGACTCGTGTGCTGCTGAAAACGCGACGCGTGTAAATGTAATCGCCGCATTACGGTCAATTTTTCTGACGTATGACGTAAAGCGTGTCGGAGCGCAAATGGATACATAATCGGCGCGTTTATTTCGAGAGAAGCGCAAAAAAAGAAAAAGAAAGAAAAATAATTACCGAATATTTAGTAATGAATCGATAAAGCTCGATAATGTATCTACGACTGGTCAATTATGTGTGTAATTACGTAGCTGATTCATTGATGATCGAACCGCGCACTATCAACGCCATGCATTTATGAAAATCGTGTGACGTCGCATTTAGTTTAAATACCTGCCGCGCAGATCAAAAAGAAATAGTATTTATTTAGAGATAAATATTTATTTAAGTATGAATAAGCAATACTACTGGGCAAATTACGCTTCGGACATTTTTCTTCAAATTACGTCAACAAAGAATCTATGGTTGTAAATGCACGAAAATAATTAGAGAACTTTCGAACGCCGATCCGCTTAATGTCGTCGAAAAGTTGATTCTTGACTGTTTTGGTCTTAGCTTATATCTAAATCCTATTTTCTCTCCATTTCTTCTAACGAATGTTTCATAGGCATAGAAAACGTAAACTATTTGTACTTAATTCTCATATAAGTAGGAAGTGTCCACTCGCATGGAAAAGATAATGTTATTTGAAAAAGTTTGTTACCCCTTTTTCTAATGAATGTACTTTGTGTTATATATTGTGTTATATATAATCAGTGACACTATGTCAATTTAGTACACATTAAGGGCTACTATTAATTATTAAAATGTAAAAATACATATAAAAATTATATATACTCAATAATTAGTTTTATGTTATTTAGCAAAATATGGATTAATATCATAGAGAAAAATTATATTATACATTTAGATATTTTATATATAGCAGCCTGTAATGTGCATTAATTATAATGCACATGAATTTGCTAAAAAAAGATTGTATACATCTTTTATTTTCAAGAAAAGGAAAAAGCATAACTTTCCTTTAAATATCTGCATTTTTGTTTTATTGTCTCGTTTGTCTTATTACTGAATAATCGATTTTTATTATTATTTAGTTCATAAAAATCGTGCAAGAGCTTAATAAGATATATTTACTTCTATGAAACATGTGATAAGATTCATTATACATTGCTATAGATAAATTGTGTTAAATACGTTTAAATATATATATATATATATATATATATATATATATATATATA